GAGGATATTTTGGCCATAATTAAAGACAATACACTTTAAGTCAAAAACCTTTGAAAGTGACAAAGACTTTTATAAGGACAAAATGGGTCATTTAGGAGAAATCTATGGTACAGAATACACATACACAGATAATATACATGGAATATACATATTTTAGCATAGATGTTTTAAAAAATATATTATATATCAGGGCTTCTAAATATATTAAGAAAAAATGAATAAAAGTATGGACAGAAGTGTGCCAAGGAACACCTAGCAACACACTAGTTATAGAGACTGCAAGACCTCACTTTCAATGATGAATACAAAAATTTGACAAAAGATAAATAAGAAAACAGATAATGGGAAAAATTTATAGACCAGTTAGATGTAAAAGATATTTACAGAGCTCTTCAGTCAAAAGCAGCAGAATACACTATAGTTTCAATCATACATGGCAAATGCTGTTAGGACACTTAAGTCTCATGAAGTTGAAGAAACCTAAAAACATACAACATATATTTTTTGACATAAATGAAGTGGAACTAGAAATCAAAACTAGAAATCAAAAGCACAACACAAACTCACTAATACAAAAATATGTCAAAATTAAACACACTCTTTAATGCATTCATGCTCAATGGTCAGATGATTTTAAAAAGTTAAGATGTCAATACTATCCACAGTGACATACAAATGTAATCAATGTCTATAATAGTCCTATCATACTTGTTTTGAGAATACATAAAAATAAATTGAAAAGTGTATTGGAACAATAAATAGCCAGACGGTTTTAGAAATACAAACAAGGAGTAATAGCACTTCTTGATTTGAAAACAAATCTACAGGAATAAAATAACGTGCTACTGCACAAAGACAAATAATGAGATGAAACAACAGAATGGAGAACCCAGAAATAAACCTTTGTGTCCATGACAAAATTAAGTTCCTCAAGATTACAATGACCATGCAATGAAAAAGAAGAGTCACTTCAACAAATGTTGTAGAAAACTGAATACTTATGGGAGAAAAAAATGATGTTGGTACCTTCCCTTGCACTATATAGAATATATCTTAAATAAATTAAATATTAAAACATAAGAAATACATGTATAAAACTCTTAGAGAAAATGTAAAGGAAACAACAGGATATTGGTCCTGGCAGTGTTTTAGCAGATGTAACATCAAATGCATAATCAAGAAAAAGGAAGAGAAGAAAAATGAGATTCTATCATTCTGCACAGGGGAAAAACTTAGTTGAGTAAGAATGCCGCCTACAAAATGGGGTAAAATAGATGCAAATCACATATTTGATAGAAGCGAACATCGTGAATAAATGAACAATGATTACAATTCTAAAACAAAGGTGAATAACTTGACTAACTAATGGACAACAAATTGATCTGGCATTTCTGCAAAGAAGATATACTAATGGCCAAATATAATTTGAAAGCAATCTAAAAATTGTTAATCTTAGATACATGCAAAACAAAAACACAATGAGAGAATGGGAGCAAGTTGGCGGACGAATAACACTGCCAGACAGAGGGTCCCTGCAGAAAAGACAGATTCTAGAAGAAACTAGAGGAAAGAAGCAAGAAGACGAGCATACAGCGGACGAGGGCTGGAAGGAGGGGTAC